CTCACTCCCACACCCCTTACCTACATATACACAAACATTAAAGGTTGGCATCCCCATGTGAGGAAAAACATATGACGTTTGTCTTTCTGAGTATGGGTCACACCACTTAATGCATTTTTTTAGATCCATCAGTTTTCCAGCACACTTCGTTTTCTTAACTGCTGAATAATTTTCCGTTGTGTGCACACATTACTTTTCATTATCCGTTCATCCACTGGTGAACATCTCTAGGCTGGCTCAATTTTCTTACATTGTGAGTAGCGCAGCTGTAACCAGATATGATGGAGTCCCTGTGGTAGGATGTAGAGTCCTTTGACAAGTCTCTCACAGACAGCTACAGACCTTGAGAATGAAACTGAGAACTTCCCATGACTCCCCACACTTAACATGAAACAAGAGAATGGAAGCCAGTATTTATATAACACTTTGAGCTTTACCCAGCTCTCTGTACATGTTTGCACTTGTTCAGAAATACCTTGTGATGACAGGTAAGGGTTTAAAGTATGGCAATCCTATTGACTATGGGATCATAGTGTTATTTAAGCTCAGAACTTTTTATGCTCAGTAAAATGGTGGTGGTTGTGGTACTAGGACCAAATGGTAAAAATGGAATGGAGGAAATATCTATTATGATGTCGATATATAGCAGGTAGTCACTTTTCTTTCTGTAAAGATGGCTATTTGTGTCTGGTTTCCATAACAACTTTGTGTTTATGCAGGAGACATAGCATCTTGGAGTGTGTCCCATGTTACACAGTAAATCTTAACTCCATGGTGCACAGCACAGTTGGGTAAATGCCATGCCTCCTTGTTGAGAATCACCGTGATGTCCCCACATCTCTGATGAGTTGAAAGCTTTGTGATGTCCATCCCTCATTCTCATCACTCCATTTCAATGAAGAGAAATCGATATCAGAGAGTATATTGCACTAAGCTACTGAAAACAGCGTTCAACTGACTTCCCTGTGTAGCCGGGGATCAGGGAGTATCCTTTGGGGTTCTGGGTAAGGACATGATGGAGAAAACATTGGAAATACAGAAGCAGGACCTAGAGGACAGTGGGTTGGGAAAACTTTAAAAGGGAATGTGGGAGAAGCTGAGCACAATTGTTTCTCAGAGAGCCTCCTTTAGCAGGATGTGAGTAGATCCCTGGGAATGTGTGCTGCCTCTCACTGGAAACTGCTGTTTCTATGCTCCAAGCCTCACCTACCTTGCATAGCTCCTCTGGAGTCATAGATGGCTATCTGAACTATCTCATTGGTCATATTAAATACCATAAAGTTATAGAAATGTGTCTGTCAATAACAAAGTAGTTTTCTCTCTACACTGATATGTGGATGGTTACAAAGGAAGTTGGATGATTGCCACTAAAGAGGACCAGAGAGAAAGGCCATGATATTGGTGTGCCACGAATAGCTACAAACTTCATTCATTGAATAGCACTTTCTTCTTAGAAGTTCAGAGGTAATTGTAGGGGACCAACGTTTCCATGAAATGGTCATGTGTAGAGTGCTGAGTGACAGACTGAAAATACTAAGAGCAATGTTTAGACTAGGCAATCAGATTTGAATGGAAGAGAAAAGACTCGCTAAAAGTCAAAAATCAAGACTTAGAGTATTATATTTTTATTTTATTAATTATTGTGCATGTGTATGTGTGCATATGTGTGTGTATATATGTGTATCTGTGTACATATGTGCGTATATGTATGTATATATGTGTATATGTATGTATGTGTATGACTGTATATGTGTGTATAATATGTATGTGTGTGTATGTGTGTGCACACACACACATGCACTTGCATTCATCTTTGTGTTCACTCCTGCAAAGGCTCAAATAGGGTGTCAGATCCTTGGAAATGGAGTTACAAGCATCTGGAATAAAATTCTGGTCCTCTGCAAGAGCAACAAATACTCTGAACCTCAGGGCCATCTCTCCAGGCCCCCAAAATTATGATTTTGAAACGGTCAGACAAAGTAGGGGCTGATGAGATGGCTCATTGGGTAAAAGTTCATGTCTCCAAGCCTGATGACTAAGTTTGATCCCTGGAATCCACAAAGTGGAAGGCGAAAACTCATTCCCACGAGTTGTCCTCTGACCTCCATGCAGACTGTGGCATGTATGCTTTCCCCACCCCCACTGAATAGATCAATGTAAAAGGCTTTTTTACTTTTTTAAAAGAAACCATCAGGCACTCATAGCATGTGGAGCAGTGATGTCTTCTAGCAGGCAAGACTCTTGGAGTAATAGCTACAGACCTCCCTTTCCAGGCTGGGACTCAACTCCCGTGTTTCGGTGTCTAAAAGTTAGCAAGCCGTCCCAGGGAGTGCTTGCCTGTCCCTTGTTTATGCTCCAACTGCTTCAAAGGCTGTCTGGGTCCCTATGCCGATTTAATCATCATAGTCCAGGGACTTTAAGTGCATAGGGATGAAAGGAATACATGCTATTTTAATGCTAAATTACACAGACTGACTAAAGAAGGAGTGAGATGATGGTGTGTTGCTCTGCTCCGAACCATGAGGGAAGAGTTTTTGCTGGTCCTTGAGGGTAGATGAAATTTAAAGATGGAAGAAAAAATAGCCTATTGATTTTCATTGATGTCTTCCACATTGAAACTTTTGGGGAGGATTCAGCAAAAGCAGTCCAGGCACAGAGTAAGAAAGCTTGAATTAGCACAGCTAGTGCTCTGATGTGCATGAGGGACAGGATGTGTAGGAATTACAGGTATCATCAGTAAAACCCAAGCAAAGGCTGCATTATGTAATTATGACCTACACACGTTTCTCACCCCTACTCCTGTACAGATTTAAGTCCTTATTCACTTAAGTCTTCTTCCAACCTGAGCGTGGCTGGTAGTTCACATTGCTGGTCAACCTTTTACACTGTAACAAAATACTTGATGTAAAAAGAAGGAGAAGAAGAAGGAAAAGAAGGAGGAGGAAGAATAAGATGAAGAGGAGGATTTATTTTGTCTTATAGTTTCAGATAATTCAGTTTATGCTCACTTAATCCCACTATTTTAAATTTTAATTAATAATTTGTTTATATGAGTGTGGGTTACCTGTGCATGTTCCAAAGTATGCGTATGGAGGTCAAAAGACAACTTGCAACTTGTTCTTTTACATATCGGTACCAGGGATTGAACTCAGAGTCTTAGGCTTGCTACAAAGTCCCTTTACCGCTGAGCAGGCTGACCCAAGTCAGTGATTTTTTTTAAAAAAAAAAATTCATTATTTATTATGGGCATTTTGCCTGTGTGCTTATCTATATACTACATGTGGATTTGGTGCGCATAGAGACCAGAAGATGCCATCAGAATCTCTGGGACTGAGTCACCAGTGGGTGTAAGCTGCCATGTGGGTGCTGGGAATTAAATCCAAGTTCTCTGGAGAGCTGTCAGTTCTTGTAACTGCTGAGCCACCTCTTCAGCCCCAGACCTTATTGCTTTGAGCCAAAGACTGGCCTGACATTAAGTTGACCCCACAGCAGAATGTAGAAAGGGCAAGGCAGGAAGGGACTAGGGATAAGGCATATCCTTTAAGGCAAGCTCCCAGGGATCCACTTTCTCCAACTAGACTCAGCTTCTAATGTTCCATCTGATGCTAAGTCACAATATATGGATAATGATGCAGTTAGCCTCTCCATGGACCACACCTTTCACACTCCAGCCTTTGAAGTCATTTGATTTCCAACTCATAACCCTTAATGCTTTGCTTTGAAGATCGGATGGTTTATTCCCTTAAATGTATTTTAGTTCTAAGGTATTTAGGTTTGAACAGTTATAGGTGTTTATGGTCCACACCATATTCTGGTTTGTGGCATAGATATCTACTGTCTACTGAATGTGCTGTGCACATGGACGAAACAGAAGTATTTATATGTTCACTGCTTGAGTCACCTTTGGTCTCTGATTCTGAAACACAACCACAGGTCCATGTATTAAATAAAGGCTTAGTCTCCAGCCTTTGGAGCCAGTAAAGGTGGCTTTAGAGGTAGTTCCAAGGGAGAGGAATTTAGGCCCTTGGAAGTATGACCTCAAAGGGTCACTGTTCATGTCTCCTTCTGCTTCAGTCATTATGATGTGAGTGGCTTTGCTTTGCTGTGTGCTCCCTGCAATAAACTTACATTACCACAGGACCAAAGCAATGGTACCAACCAACCACGTCCCAGGACCCCTAAGACTGAACAAGATTCATCCTTCCTCCTCTGTCTCATCTTAGCTGTTATGTCACATGACAGAAAGCCTACAGTCCTTTGTGCATAAGATATACTGGGAATAGATATATAACCTGGAATGAAGGAAGGGAGCAGGTCTAAGGTTCCTTGGGAACTCTCCCTCTGTAGATATTATTTTTCCACCAGTTAGCAGTAGAAAGTACGGAATACGAGACTGGCTGGGACTTGAACTTCACTCAGGGCCCCTGGATCTCTATATGAATGACAAAGACTATTAAAGATAATTTTGAGGTTCTTTCAGATATGAAACTTGGTAATTCCTCAGTAGTATAAGTTTTCTTGCTGGGAGTGGTAATGCCTTTATTCCCAGCACTGGGAAGCAGAAGTAGGTGGATCTCTGTGAGTTCAAGGCCAGTGGTCTACAGAGAGAGTTTCAGAACAGCAAGGGCTATGTAGAGACCCCATCTACACACACACACACACACACACACACACACACACACACACACACAAGAGTTGTCTTCTGTGACACTAGTGCATACAATTGTATATGTTCCCCTGAGCTATCTATCACAAATCAAGAGCCATAACTGTTTTCCCTGATAGAAAGAGGCGTGGCAAGTATAAGCCTGGAGGAATTTTCTTGAGTGCCTAGACTTGGACACTCAGCCCACACAGACTCCCACTCGTTGCCACTTATGCAACCTTGTGGAAGGCCTGTTTTCTGTAGGAGGTACTCCTCTTTAGAGCACTTCCTCTCTTTTTCATCTGTCTCTCTGTTTTCACCTTTGGTGACAGACCAGGCAGACAGAAGTATAAAAGATGTGTATTTAATAATTCTCTTGTATGGTTTCAAGCCTTCTTTAACAAAATGTAGTACAGAGAAGGTGATCCGAGGTCCAGGGAGGCCGTGTTTGACAAAGAAGTGTGGGGAGGGCGCTGGTGAGAAGTGTTCTTTGCCATCCAAGCTTCACCCCTCAAGGCTCTATTTCAAAGAGCATGGCCCCATTTTCTTCCATAAGTCTCTGTGTGAGCCGGGGTGAAACTCAGTGGTAGAGCATTTACCTAACATATATGAGCATCTGAGTTTGATCTCTAGCACCCTGAAAACAAACAGAACTCGCAAAGCCCAGAAGTCTCTGCATATTTCAAGGAAGATTTGCTTTTGTTGCCTTAACTAATATTTTGTCCACAGTCTTGAGATCTAAAATCCAGATGCAGAGAACTTGAAATGGAAATCAGGCAGTGATTAAGCCAAACTTGCTGTGTGGCACAGAATAAAGGGAGGGGATTCAGAAGTACAGTGAGCTGAAGACAATCCTGTGGAGAATTTCCCATGTAGGTTCACTAAAGGATGTCACACAATGCAGAGACCTGAGTCTCTGAACAGTAGCCAGAGACGGAAGTAGGTGTCCACTGTCAGGACACAAATGGGTTTGTTTGCACTCACCTTCTGGATCTTTCTTATTCCAATTCAGGATTTCCTGACCTTGATGTGGTTGGCAATGGGAGTTGGGTAAATTCTTAGTCAGTGAGATATGTTGAATATAATCTCTGAGCTCTTTCCTCTAGACACCAGTGACCCTGTTATCCCTCTTCCTTTAGTTGTGACAATCAGTCTCTCCACATTGCCAACTATCACATGGGGAATAAGAAGGAGGACATCACCCTGGTTTACTCCCAGTGTTATGGGGGGTGGAAGTTGAAGTTACAGCTCTCCATGCAGGATAGAAAGTAGAAACTTCAAACTTTATGATGACATAAGGCCACATAGCAAGATGAAGACAGCACCTTACCCTGGGCCAATTCACAAATCAGCATCATCTGAGAAATAACAGGGCATTTGTTTGCTCAAGGGAGAAGTTATTCGGATTATTTGGAAAATCAGCATCATTCAACTATTTTGTTTTCCCTAAATTTATGATCAACCTCCCTATATGTTTGGCATTTGTCAGGTGGGAGGAGACGCCAAAGCACTTTTGAAAGCATCCTAATGAGAAGTGAATCACTGGGCCTGTCACTCAAACACTGCCACCGCCGAGTGGTGAAGTGGTGGCTGATTAGCAGCTTTTCACAGCGTGCACTATGGTTTAATGTGCAGAATATGAAATGAGTATATGGCAATGGAAACCATCCAGGAACACTCAGAGCGACATCATTAACAGCCCATCCTCACGCAGGAGCTGATGGGTAAGAGGAGGTCCCTGAGACCCAGGAAAACACCCACCCCAACACACATTGTAACAGCACGCTTACTACACTCTAGTTTGGTTGAATTATTTTCTAGGTCCATCTTGTTCTTATCAGAGGCATCTGTGGGTTGCTTTTGTTTTCCTTTTGCATCTTGTTCCTGTCTGTTCACTCCAGACTTCTAGACATGAATTCATTTTCTTCTAGAAATATAAAACTAGGTCATGTCTTGTGGAAAATATTTCTGTAGATCCCTGGGATTCTGAAAGAACACAATAAGATACCATGATAGACAGTTGGCTGATGTTTACTGAGAACCCAGAGTCTTCGTTCCCTAGTCTTTGTGTTAGTGTACTTCCTGTTTCAAAATGGGCTTATTTTTCTGTATTCTGCTGTTCTACTGTGGCCTGCAGACCACAGTCCATAGTCTGTGGTCTGCGCTGGAAGGATGATGGCTTAAATTTTATTCTAAAAGAAGACCCTGCAGTTCTAGTCTCAGGAGAGAAGTGGGTCCTCAGAGCAATAGACATGGCAGGTTTCTGGGGTGAGGTTGGAAGACACCATCTGCCTCTATTCCTAGCTGGAGGGTGTGGGACCTAATGCATTATAGCCAATAATAGTGTGTGTCTGAAGTAACAATCTGTCCCTTTACTTTAGAAATCTTAGTGAAGAACAAAAACAAAAACAAAAAACCTGAATTAAACCAAACCAAGCCAAGCCAAGCCAAACCAAGCCAAACCAAACCAAACCAAACCAAACCAAACCAAACCAAACCAAACCAAAAACCTCAAACAAAAATCTATTTGGTTTAAAGTTATTCTTCAGTAGAGAAAGCTACTTTCTACAGAGAACAAAGTGGCAGCTGAGCATGTATGCAACTCTGCACGTGCTATGTGTGAACATCCCCTCTTACATATATGACACGACTTTTTACAAAGCTGAAAGTTATTGCTCCAAGGGTATAAGAAAAAAGGACAAATAAACTATACTCTACAGGCCATGCTATCTAGTTGCTGCTTATTAAAAACCAAACAACTCATTTATAGTGAAAGCAGGAATCAGGGGAGGGAGATAGAGTTCCTCTTTCTACCTGTCAAATCCCTAAGGAGCAGTTTCTTGGGGGACATCTCCCTCTGCAGAGAGCTATGGGGTCAGAAATGATGGCAGCTGACAGGTTCTCTTACGTAGAGTCCACTTCTTACACCACACTGTCTTATGAGCTTAGAAAACAGCAGAAGGGAAGATAAGAAACAAATGCACAGGTCTTGCCTGCCTCCAGATCTTAACTATCTGGGCAAGGAACACACAGTGCTCGGAGCAGATAGGATGTGCCTATACACATGCCAGGTGAGTGCGGGCTTCAGGGCCCTCAGGAAATGGGGCTTAGGCTGAAAAGCATTTCTCTGCAAAGGATAAAAGAACACATGGATATGAACTGCTATAGAATAAATTTCCCAGAAGGGGCAGGGAGGGAGCGAACAATGTCAGAAGAGGTGTGTGTGTGTGTGTGTGTGTGTGTGTGTGGCGTGCTGTATTTCAGAGAAGATAGAGGACTGTGGTTGCTCAGCTGGAGACAGTAGCTCTGATGACTTGTGTCTAGACCCTTTCTGGGTTCCAGAGCAAGGAGACCCCAGAGGGAAACAGTGTACTTTCATTCTTGTGAGAGAGAGAAATGAGACAGAGAGAGAGAGAGAGAGAGAGAGAGAGAGAGAGAGAGAGACAGAGAGAGACAGAGAGAGACACAGAGACACAGAGACACAGAGACAGAGAGACAGAGGAAGGTGCAAACATAAGGATTTAGAACTAGACTTTGGGTTAAAGAAGTCACTTAGTGGTTAAGAGCCCTGGTTGCTCTTCCAGGGGATGCAGATTGGATTCTCAGCACTCACATGGTGGCTCACAACTGCCTATAGCCCCTGTTCCAGGGAACCTGATACACTCTTCTGGTCTATGGGCACCAAGTACACATGTGAGGCATAGACACACACATGGCAAAACACCCATGTACATAAAATAATAAAATACAGAATTTTAAATTAGAATTAGCTTGGATATAAGATGATACAAATGGATCAGTCTGAGAGAGCCCTGTGGGCTCCATGGCAACAGCTGACATGAGGGATAGAGGACAGTCAGAATGAAACCACTGGCCCTGTGAGCCTCAGGAAACCTCAGCTCATGTGGGAGCTGACCAGATCGCCACAGCCCACTGCTGTGCAAACTTTACTTGCAGTAGAACATTTAGACGGGAATGTCCAGTCAGTAATTGGAGCCAGAGAACACATCTCAGCAGGAGGGCTAGCTGGTGAGTCACCAGGGCCCAAGGTGGAAGGACTAGGGTTGGGGTGGGGAAAAGATCGTTTACCCAGGGATTACATACCCTCATTGTGAATAACAGTAAAGCCCAGGGTTATTAGTCAGGGCTAAACAGTTCTTACTTACTCTTTGAAAAGGTAATTTTGAATCCATTAATGACTCAGCAAATGAATAGGTGTTTGAAATTACATAAATGGTTGGATTGTGTGGAGTTGGTTTTCGTATCTGCCAATTAGGTCTCTGCCCTTAGTTAGTGCTGGACACTAAAAACCTTTGCCTTTCACAACTCTAGGACAAAGTCCTTGACCTAACATCAGTGCATCGTCCTCCCTGTGGCTGGTGTCGAAGGCTGTCTGACTCTGTTTCCTAACAATTAGTCTAGGGCAGGAGAAACGGCGAGGCTACTAAGAACGCTGCTGGCTACTACCCATCCAGCGTACTCTCTGTGCTTTTACCTCACCTGTTGTACCAGTAACTTTGCATGCTTTTGTGTGGCCAAGGCCCCTCATCTTAGCATTAGGCAACAGGAGAGAGCTAGGAGTGCCCAGCCAGCCACAAAGACTGAAGAAACACACAGGGAGTGCCCGGAGTTCAGCAGCTGCAGCTGACTACGCCTTTTGACTTCTGAATCTGTAAAAAGACAGGAAAAAAGTTCAGAGACACAGAGAGGCTGGATGTCCACTTCACTGACGAGGATCGAGCACCTGAAAAATGGAGCAATTGATTCTTAACAAGGCGATTTTGTTCCACTGCCCCTTCCACCCGTTTAGACTCAGAGGTTTCCTGGTCTATGGAGCAAAGTCCACTCTGTGGCCATCTCAGTGAGGATGTGGCCAATAGGAAGGCTACACCAATGAAGCCGTTCCTACGGTTAATATAGGAAAATGAAGCTAAGCAACTGGCCCTAGACAGTCCCTTGATTTTGGAGTACAGGTTCCCCAGGCAGCGGTGTTTACAGGTTTGTGCAATCAGATTTCATCAGGCCTCTATAAAATGATACAGAAGTATCAATTTCACCATCTAGTCCCTTCTCCCTAGACAGTCCAATTTCACATCACTATTTCAGCTCTGTCACGCAGTAGGCGTGTGACTTCAGTAACTAACTCAATACACATTTGCTCCATTCTTTTTCCTCTACAAAAAATAGCTAAAATAAGAATAGCCTATCTCACAGGGTTCTTATGAGAGCTCATGAGTGACTTAGAACAATGCCTGGCATACAGCCACTCAATAAGTGTTAGCTGCAAACAACAAATAAAAATAGAGCCACCCAAGCCCAATAGGAAAACGGACACTGAAAGGTTATACACCCAGGGATCCCGTCTCGTAGAATGAAATATATAGAATAGGGCTGCAGCCTCCCAGGCCTGCAAGTACCAGGCATCTCTGCCTGCATCCTCCGTGGGTGTTTGAAGAGAAACATCTCTAAACCATTATCTTCTCTCCCCTCGTGTTGCTTCTGTGTCCCTGTTTTGTTGGTACAGCTATCAGATTCCTAGACATCCTGGATAGTGATATCAAACTCATTCTTGCTGTTAATTTTCTTGACGTTCACATTTGGTGTATCAAGATCCATAGGTTTGCTCCCAGGGTCTAAATCACCAGTCTGGGAGCACATAGGGAGAGACCCATGGCTCCAGCTGTATATATAGGGGAGGATGGCATTGTCAGGCATAGGTGGGAGAGGAAGTCCTTGGTCCAGTGAAGGCCGGATGCCCCAGGGCGGGGGGGAATTTGTGGGTGGGGAGATGGGAGTGGGCGGGTGTGTGGGGGCACATCCTCATAGAAGCAGGAGGAGGGGGGATAGGATAGGGGGTTCCTGGGTGGGTGGGTGGGGGATTGGGGGAAGGGGATCACATCTGAAATGTAAATAAAATAACCAATAAAAGAAAATATAGGTTGGTTTGTTTGCTTGTTTTTATTTAAGCAACTTTTGATTTTTTTCTCTTTCCTTTTTCTTATGCTCACAATTCCTCCCTGCCACTGCCACAGGCTCCTGATTTCAAGCCTTCTTAACCTCTCATTTTCTCCATCTTTATGAGCTAACTTGAATTTTTCGTCCCTACTGCTCCACTCTAGTCACAATTAACTCTTTCTTAGAGGCTCCATATTAATACTGGGATTAAGTTTTTAATGATATTTGTACCATTTACCTAAGTATCTCATGGGCTTTTTAAAGTACTATGAACATACTTGGCACAAGTATCCAGGATGATTAGTACTCTGCTGTGTGCTGTCAAAGTGAGGTTCTACCTCCCAGCCCCAATCTACCAAAAATAAGACACTGACTCAAAATATATTTGCAAATAGCTCGACCATGTAGCTATGCTCTTCTCTGACTAGAATCATAGCTTAGGAGAATCCATTTATTTTAATCTACATTTTTCCACATGTCTATTTACCTGTGCTCAGGTACCATGTGCCTGTCTCTTCACATCTTCCTGGGTGGATCTCCTGCCTCGCTCTATCCCAGAATTCTCTCTCTTCCTGGATGTCCTGCCTCCTATTTCCTGCCTAAGTCATAGGCCATCAGATTTATTATTGACAGGTGCCACATCCATGCAGACATAAGATATTCTGTATTGAATGTGCATTTACTATATTTAATTCATGTTGTCCATTTGTTATCTATGTCATCAATGGACACTTCAGGCTTCTATTTCCTTGACTGTTATAAATAGTATTACTATTGCCATAAGCTTTCAAATATTTATCTAAGACTTTTTTTTAATAGACCTAAAAGTATAATTGTCAGATGATGTGGCTAGTCTATTTTTAGAGCATACTATTTTCTGTTGATTGCATCATGTGTACATATGTACAAACACATGAAAAACATGCACATGCATGTTATATGCATACCAAAATGAAAAAGCACACATATGGAAAATGGAGACAGGCAACAAGAATCAGCTGTTTGTGTCTAGAGACGTGATCCTGTGGAAGACTGCTTGCCTAGTATGCACAAGGCCCCGGGTCTGACTGTCTAGCCCCCAAACCCAAAACCTTTAAAATTCAGCTATTTAATTTTTTGTTAAGTTATAAGATTTCTTTATATGTCTTAACATCCTATTAGGTATGTAATTTGCCATTCCATAGATTAACTTTCATTAACATAATTTTAATAAAAACATAAGATGTTATGAATATAATTTATTCAGTTAAACTCAGTCATCCTCTGTCAGATACTGAAAATGTACAAACATACTATATATACATATATATACATATGCATATATATATGCATATAAGTATATATATGTATATATATACATATATATATATGCATTGCTATAGATTTGGTATTGACAGGAACTTCTCATGGCAAACTTCACCCTCTGAGAAGAGGATTCAGTGAAGCATAAGGACCCACACCATGGAAGCCCCAGCTGAGTCTGGCTCTTCTTGGAACTGGCTTCCTCCTAGGTTTGGCATGCACTAAAAGTATTGCAGGCAGGTGAGGGTGACTAAGACAGGCTGCTAAGAGGCCACTTCAGTGTAGGCTTTTCAGATTTTCCTGAATAGTGGTCAGTCTTAGTCAACATTGGTGAGATCAGCATCCAGTCCCATGATGCTGAGTAAGACTGAGTCAGAGGGTAGGTCTTTGATCTTCAGATTCAAAATCTTCTCAAGAGTAAGTTGGGATCTCGTGATTTTGGAAGAATTTAGGATGTAGTATATCAGTCAAACATGTCCCAGTTGCCAAATAATCATTGCGTCTCTACACTGCACCCAAGTAGCCCCCCTGAGTTAGGAAGAGCCTCTGAATCCTAAAGCTCTCCAAAAAAAACCAGGGTGTGGGGTGGGGAGAAGATGAGATTAAATCAGCTAATGCCTTTTTGGAGGGAGGAAGTTGAGATAGTGTCTCTCTCTGGGTAGCTCTAGGTAGCCTAGAACTCACTTTGTAGATCAGGCTAGTCTCAAATTCCCAGAGATCCACTTGCCTTCTGAGGGCTGGGATTAAAGATATGCATCACATGCCAGTCTCACTCACCGTTTTTAGTCGATACGCTATAAGTATTGTGTAGTGTTAGGCTTTGATTACAAAGATCAGTGCCAACTAGAATTACATTCAAAATCTCCAGCACAGCGGTTCCTTAGCATTCCTAATGCTGCAACCCTTTAATACAATTTCTTATGTGTGGTGATCCCAGTCATAAAATTATTTTGTTGCTACTTTGTAATTATAATTTTTCCTGTTTTGAATCATAATATAAAATCTGATATACAGAATATCTGATATGTAACCCCTGTGAAAGGATTGTTTGACTTCCCACCAAAGGGGTCGTGACCCACAGGTTGAGAACCACTGCTCTAGAGGCTCTGGCAGACTAGAGATTTTTGTACCCTGGTATGTATTAGATAAATGTGGTTTTAATTGACATATCATTTTCTTTCTAATGATACATGTAGAAAACATGGAGAGGCCTACAGGTGTATTTAGGAATAGAGAGCTTGACTAGTATCCCCCAGATCCTGGGTTTCATCTCCAGCATCATGGGAAGCCTCAGAAGACCCACCTGTCACTTTGATGTCCCCGGTGGCTTTGGCAATGTCGTTTTCAATCATACAGGAGTATGTGTTGTTGATTGTGACATTGTAGAGGACAGATACGACCTTCATGGTCACATTCTCAGAGTTCAACTCGAAGCTGGTATTGGAGACTTCTGAGAAGTTGGCTCCTTGGTCAACCTGAGATGCCCAGGCCACTGTAGGCTGGGGGAACCACCGAGGAGCCTCGCAACGTAAACTCTCTGAACTGGCATTATAGTCCACATTTATCTCTGGCATACTGAAGGCTGCAGGGTCAAAGGTCAAAAGGGATAAGTGTCAGGGGGAGATAGATTAGACAAAAAAAAAAAAGCCATACGTGCTAGGTCTTTTTTGGTTGGTTGGTTTGGGTTTTGTTTGTTTGTTTGTTTGTTTGTTTTTTGAGACAGGGTTTCTCTGTGTAGCTCTGGTTGTCCTGGAACTCACTCTGTAGACCAGGCTAGCCTTGAACTCACAGAGATCTGCCTGCCTCTGACTCTGGGATCAAAGGCATGTGCCACTACCACCCAGCTAAAGTGCTGGGTCTTAAAAACATAAAACAATCACTTCTATCACTGAAGTGACTCAACACATCCTCACAGAAGTGTTTGTGTGAGGCCCATTATGCTGTGGACATAGCTTTCTCATAGCATCACTATGTATTATAACCCTTTGCCCAGTACCACAAACTCCTGGGGCCTGACTTTCATGTATATTAGCATTACGATAATCTTCATGTAAAAGGAGCTCAGTGATCATGGAAGAAGAAGGAAGAGGGGGAGGAGGAGGAGGAGGAGGAGGAGGAGGAGGAGGAGGAGGAGGAGGAGGAGTCTCTTTCCTTAGGACAATAGGGTCTTGGAAGGCTTCTGAGTCTTATGTTTTGAGGTAAAGAGGGAAGGGTAATAAGAAAGAACAAACAACATTCATCTTTCACCACAGAAGGCCTATTCACAGGCCTTGGCACCATAGGGATTTGAAGTTTGTTTGGGTAGAGATTTTAGCTCTGATATCCATGAATAGAATGGTAGGTATTTGTTGTATTCTAAGAAATGCTACTCATTAAAGTAACACTTGGAAATTAAGATATCCTTTCTCCTCTATCCAGGCAGAGTGACACTTGCAGAAAGTGTTAGGGCTCTGGGCTTATTATTATGGCAGAAAGGCAGTCCACAATTAATATTTTAAGATATTGTTGTGATGATGATGATGATGAAGATGATTGTGAAGGTACATGTGCCACAGCATACCCGTGAAGCTTGGAGGGTAGTTTTGGAGAGCTGGTTCTTCCCTCCACCTTTACATGATATGGTTGTTTGGATGAGAATGGCTTCCATAAGCTCATAAGCCTGGTGGAACTGCTTGGGAAGGACTAGAAGGTGTGGCTTTGTTGGAGGAGATGTGTCACTGGGGATGGGGTTTGAGGTTTCAAATGCTCACACCATTCCAAGCTAGTTCTCTCTCTCTCTCTCTCTCTCTCTCTCTCTCTCTCTCTCTCTCTCTCTCTCTGTCTCTCTCTCTGTCTCATGCCTTTGACTCAGATGTAAACTCTCAAATACTGTTCCAGCTCCATGCCTGCTTGCCTGCTGCCTTGTTCCCTGCCATGATGGTATGGATTCATCCCCTAAAACTGTAACACCCATACCTTGATCATGGTGTCTCTGGAGTAATTGAAAAATTACTAAGACACTTGGGTTCCAGGGATCAAACTCAGGCTGACAGGTTTGAACATCAAGTTTCTTTACCTGCTGAGTCATCTTGCTAGGCCCCCAGGCAGTCAGCAACTTATTAAGCCATTTAGCTGCTTCTTTGCTCAGGGCTAGGCTGGTGCAGAGTGAGAATTAAAGGATTTTTTTTTTTTACCTTGCTATTGCTTGTTTGTTTCTGACACAGTTTCACATAGACCAGGCTGGCCTTGAACTCCCCACAGAGCCAAGGATGACAGGAGTACCTGATCCCCTTGCCTTCAGTGTCCCATGCTGAGGATATAGACGTCCTGCTCTTTACCTTACTCCCAGCAAGCCTGCACACAGTAAAGGAGAGGAGATGCACGTGCTTGGAGCCGGGACGGAACGGGTTTTTAGGAGATAATGTGGGAAATGAGTCTTGAGCATACACCTTGTACCAGAAGTACAACCTAGATATTAATCCATTCAGTGCCGCCATAACTCTGTGGTTATCTGTGATGATATCTATGCTAAAACTTTAAAATTTTGGAATTATTTTACTTTGACTAATTTCTTTAAAAAGGTGTATTTATTTTTATTTTATATATTTGAACGTTTGCCTGCATATGTACATGTGTACTGTGTGCATGCCTTGCCTGCAGAGGCCGGAATCCCCTGGAGCTGGAATTACAGATGGTTGTGATCTGCGTGTGCATGCCGGGAATCAAACCCCCGTCCTCTGGAAGAAGAGCCAGTGCTCTTAACCACTGGGCCATCTTTCCAGGCTCTCCTATTTTACTAATTTTTAGAAAAGTTAACATACAAATAGATTTCATTATGTGAACAACTTTAAATTTACATATAAGTTCCAAAGACAGAATTCTGCAAGAGAGAATTCCTGTACATTTTCCAGTCTGTTTCCTCTAATGTAGCAGGTTAAATGGTCATTGTATCTTGAAACTGAGAAACCAGCGTTTCTGTTAACTATACTTCAGGCTTGATTTGTATTTTACCCATTAACATTGTTTTTCCTGTTGCTGTTCCAGAATCTAATCTTTATGTTTTCAGTAATTGTGTTGCCTCAGGGCCTTATAGACTGTGACATTTTCTCAGTCTTTCCATACTCTTTATGGCTCTCACAATTTGAATACCTGGTCAGGTAAAGTGTAGGGTGCCTTTCTACTGGGACTTACATGATGTTCTTCTCATTGTTAGAGGTGGAGAAGACGGTGGTAGGGAAAAGTTCCCCCATCAGGATGGCATGCCAGGAGGTACGTGCTCTCCACACACAACTGCTGATGATGGGAGGGGGCATTGGTTAGGTGTGTTTGAAAGGTGACTTCACTACTCCAACATATCCTGACAGGGCAGAATGGGAGCGCTAAGTGTCACCTCTGCCTCTGACTCTAGGGCTATGCGTTGTAGAATTACATATACCCAGGAGGTATTCAAGGAAGTCCTTCAAAGACTAGGGGAGTACAGGCTAGTTTCTGCTTCCTACAAGGCCCCTTTCACCTTTGCCATGAGGGCTTCTTATCCTTCTCTCATGTGTGTTGGGGTGTGGTCTTTTTCTTCCTGTGAACCCCTCAACTGTTCCATTTCTCCTTCCCTTAGGTGTTCTTTGTTATACGTTAGTAATTGGTACCCCTGTGCAGACCTTCAGTTCTGTAATCGCTATACTAGAAGCGCTGTGAAAGGAGGGGTGGTCACGTTTGCTTATTAACAATCTTCATATGCTTCATCGCATCTATCTGAGTCCCTCATATATACATTCAGAAAACATCTAGTAGATGGCGTTGGCACAGAGGTGTGGGTTTCAATGGGGCTGTATTACTGAGTTTGTATTAACAGCATTAGTTTGGTTGGTTCTTGTTTTGGATCTCTCCTAAAATGTCTCTCATCAGGAGTCTCTGGAGGGACTGATTTCAGATGAGGGCCCAGGCCTCATTAGTATAGAAATATTCTGGGACAGACTGTGAGCTTTTCCTATTAGCAATGGTAGGGTCTACTTTCAAAAGACCACGTTCATTAACTAGGGGTGGTGCTCCCTATCTTTCATCTTAGTAATTGGGAGGCAGAGGTAGGCAGGTCTCTGTGAGCTTGACAGTTAACTTAGTCTACTTAGTGAGCTGCAGGCCAGCTAAGGCAACATAGAGAGACCCTCTACACCCTGGAGGGAGAGAGGGAGGGAGAGAGAGAGAGAGAGAGAGAGAGAGAGAGAGAGAGAGAGAGAGAGA